GGGAAAGGAGTTTGTAAGCCACTCTGAGACTCCTTTGGGTAGTGAAGGGCGGGGTATAAAGCCCCTCTGGTCTCCCTCCTCCTCCTCCTCCTCCTGCGGCTGCTGCTCCTCCAGGGGACTCGGGCCACCGCCGCCGCTCGCCTCCGAGCCGCCCTGCACTTGCAGCAGCTGCTGCTGCTCCGGCGCGGCTTTGGAGCCCCGCCGCCCTCCACCTCCTCCAGTCCTGCCCCGGTGGCCGCGTCCCCCCTCCGGGGCTTGGCGCTCGCCGCCGGCGCCGTCGTCGTCCTCCTCGGAGGCAGAGTCGGCCGTGGTGCTGTAAAAGGGGTTCCCGCCGCTGGGCGAGCGAGGGAGGCAAGCAGGCTGGGGAAGCGCCGCCGCTTTCTCCTCCTCCACCACCGCCTCCGCCGCCGCCTCGGAGCCCAGCCTCCCGCTCTCCCCGGCACCACCCGCCCCTGTGTGTGTGCAGAGCCATGGGTGGAAGCAGCCAGCTCAACATCTCTCCCAGCGCCTCCTCATCTAGCCAATTATAGCTGCAGTCCTCCAGCGAGAGGTGGGGTTTTATGGGCGCTCCCGACGCCCAGAGCCCACCCAGGCCCCTCCCCCGAGAGGGGAGGGTCTCCGCCGTTTAAAACCACAGGGCTGATTTTTGAGAGAAGCCAGGTGCTGCGCGAAGCCCCGGCTGCCCCCCGAACGGAGGTTTCTCCTCTGAGCCCCGGTGGGTCGCCAATTGGGGCAGCCCTGGAAAGAAATGACCAGCTCTGACGAGGGCCAGGATCGCGGCGCGCCCGTTCCCGTCCCCTTGACTCTGCTCGCGTGGAGCTGTCCAGCAGCTCTGGTGCTGACGCCCACCTACCCATTAGACATCTCTCAGAGTCATGAATTGACGAACGCGCTCCCATTAGCCATGTGATTTACAGTGGAAAGGGGCTGAGATCATCCTGAGTCACCGACGACGATTATCAACAGTTTTGGCACATGGTTGGCATTATCAAACAAGACAAGCAGGAGGACCCAGCAGGACCCAGGCCAGAAGCAGGAAAAGAAACAGACAACCCGCTTGCCTTTCTGCAGCAGATTGTGGTGCATGTCAATCAGCTGGCAATAATAAGCATCCTGTCATATCCTCTTCATCCATAATAGCATCTGCAACCACGCGCATTGCGCTCAGCTGTAATTAAGGTCTTCAAGCCACTTTCATGTCCGAGTGAAATGCAGTGGCACTAATGCACAGTGAAAGCACACTTTTCTGCTCCTGGGGAAGACTGCAAAGAGGGGAAAGGTTGCTCTACATCCCCAACACTATAAGTTGTCAAGGATGTGAGAAAATGAGTCTGCTTACCAAAAGATTCAAAAGTGAACCCTTTAAAGAATGTCTGCACCAGACATTACTGCCAAACAAGTGGCCTCGGCAAACATAAGGATGGGTGTCATATGTACACAATGCTGCCACTGGCCACAAGTGCACCACATGTTCAGATAAGCATTTGGGGGTTTTGTGCTGTCTAATGCTTGTACAATGTACTTTGGTCCACCCAGTCCCTGGCTCTCAGGAACCACTTTGGTGATTTTGCACTCAAAGTCCTGCCTGTGCTTTTAGGTACAGGACCATGTCAATAAAGTAAGTAATGCATATCAACATTTGGAGGTCTAACAAGTTCCAAAAAGGATCTTGTACCAATGTGTTCCAGGAAAATGTTCTTTCATTGATCTCACATCAGTTGCAAGTCAAAAATCAGCAATACTCTGGTTTGCATGTAATTGTAACAGTGGTGGTCACAACCACAACTGTTTAGTGAATATTAAAAGTTATCTGAAACCAATTTCATTGAACTAAGCAGAATTTCTAGTCCTAACCTATTTTCAGCAATTTCCATTGTTGCCACTGGGAGTATGTGCAATAAGGTCTGGAGCCGAATTGTATTGCTTATTTCGTAATGTGACCACCCTTGTTTGACCAGAGATGAAAGGAGATAAATGAAATGAACATGAACACCATGAGAAACAAGGGCTCCGTCATACAACTTTCAGCTGTTTTAAAATCTGGTGTCTGCTTCCAGTTTCTCTCCAGACATAAAAAACACAGGCAATGACTCAGAAATACAGACAGCCAATCCTACATAACAGTGTGTAGCCCTGGATGTGAATGCACATCCTCATCCAAATCAAGCCAGTGCCAGTGGGTTTGGCAGAGCATTGCTATATGTATGGGGAAGTGCACTATGATGCCCAAAACATCCAGAAGGCTGCTTACCCAGGATCACTCTTACAGGACTGGTTCAATAACTAGAACATAAATTTCATCCAAACATCATTAATCTCTTCAGGATGAGTTTGGAAACGAGTTTCAAATTGGTTTGCATATCTGTAAGCAGAAAGGCAGTTTAGTTGTAGTTATTGTTGAGAAACATTGCTGAAGTTGTTACTCCAAGAGGAAGTGGTGTGAATACTGAAACTGAACAAAATCTGTTTTAATCTAGTGGGCCACTGCATATAACATCCAGCTTTCATGCTGTCATGCCTATGTCTGATTACTGTCAGCAAGCTGCCATTCTGTTTTCTGTGACCTCTGTGTACATATCCTTTCCCTGTTACACCCGGCTTGGCTTCTATCATCCTGCTCCTGCTTTGGAATGCGTAAGATAACTGCTGGAGGTTGTGTGGGGGAGAAGATGCTGTAATGCTTGCCTATTGATTTTCCCATGAGTACTGCCACCTGTGTTTTGTCTGATGCCCTGCCTGGTTCCCACGTACTGGGCGCGCAACCGTTTCATTAGCCCGCCAGCGGGAAAGCAATTCATTGGATCTGTATTTATTTGAAGTTCCTTTATTATGCTTGACCTAACTGTGTATCCCCAGTTCTAACAAAGAACGTGTTTGAGTATGTCTTCAACGCTTTGAAATAAATTTTGGCCACTGCATATAACATCCAGCTTTCATGCTGTCATGCCTATGTCTGATTACTCAGAAAGGACCAGAAGCAATACATAGCAAATTATATCCAGGGCAACTGGAAATACAGATTTTAACTATCCCAAACATAATCATCCCTTTCCCCCTTTCTGTTCTTCCCCTTACATCAGTTAGAATTTGTGGGGATTCTTAATTCAGGGTTGATGGTTGTATTGAAAACACAAGAAAAATATCTTTACTATAAAAACAAAATAAAACATGGGTATGGTACTTTGGATAAAAGAAATAAAATTAAAAGTTACATACTTGCAGTTACTCTCAGTAATATATGCTAACAGCTCCATCTTTCTATCTCTCTTAGCTTCTAGAAGAGAAGTACCTCTTTGGTTCACACAAATGGCCATAAACTTGTGAATACATTATGTAATGTAACATCCTGTTTGCTAACAAACAACATTTAACTCTGTAATGGCTGAAGTGTAAGCAACTTGCAATTCCAACACCCCTTCTGAAGTTCTAACATTTCAGTCATGCTTTGGATCAATTAGGTTCATCTTCTTACATAGGTTTGCGAGCTTGGCTGTGTTGAGTGGCTTGGTCAAAATGTCCGTGGTCATTTCTTCAGTAGGACAGTATTGAACTTCAATCAGTCCTTTCTTTTGCATATCTTTCACTAAAAGACATTTGATGGCGATGTGTCTGCTGCTTGTCTTTGTATTTTCGCCTTTGCACATGCCTCATTATCTTCAAAGATGAGTATTGGCTTAGGTTCTTCTATGCCAAAGTCCTTTAGCATGTAGATGATCAATTCTAGCTCATTGCAGGCAGCTTGAGCCGACACACAACAATTTGTTGCTTTTTACTGACCCAGTGAATCACACTGTTTCCATAGTAGAATAAGTATCCACTAGTTGATTTTCCATCTTCTTCCTTTTCCCCCCAGTTGGTGTCCATGTATCCAACTAGTCTTGGGTCATCAGAGGCTGAAATCAATAACTTTCGATCAGCTGTTTTCATGAGGTATCTGGCCAGTCTTTTCACAGCTTTCCAGTCATGATTATTTGGTAAAGGTGTGGCTGGAAACTTTGACCAGTTGTTGTGACTGTTGGGTGTGGATTGTGGGGAGCACATCATCTCTTCCAGCATCACTGTGTGGTCACTTTAGACAGATAAGTAAAAATGAGAATCATTGCTCTGAGATATATAGTCCCCCCCCCCCAAAAAAAGTGCCTGGCTCTTTAAACAGTTGAAGCAGAAAAAGAGCAGAAGAGAGCAAACAGAATCTGACAAAGAAAATGCCTTTGAGTGTTTAAGAAATAAATGTGTGTGTATTTATATCTAGGTGAGTCATGACTCATGAGTATTTCAAAATTCTCCATTGTATGCGCTTTTTTAAAAAGCAGCAATAATATTAAGTGTCTTTATATAACATCTAGAGAGAAAGCAAAACACTTTGCTCACAGGTCCCTGGTTAAGATAGCAACGCATGCAATAATTTATGGGTTATTCATGGTGAAATGATTCAGGGCCCCTTTAACCATACTTCTCAGCTCTCTCTGATGACTACATTGGGTACCATTATATAACATACCAGCAAAATGTTTTTCATCATGAGGAGGAGGTAGGGCAGAAGGAGGTCTACATGGGGCTACATGGGGGTGTACACTGCACCAATCCTGATAGATTCCTGTAAACAGAGCTGGGACTTCCTGGTGCCAGCAGTGACCAAAAAGGTCTCTCCCCCCCCCCAATCCGGTGATGACCTCTCAACGAACTTCATGTTCTTCTAATAGGTGAACAGCACAACTCATTTCACTGGGGAAAAGTCAAATAATTTCTTCAAGGGATACATTTCATTAATGGAGAAAACCTTTCCGCTAGCCATTCATAACACTAATGAGTTCACTCTCAATGGCG